CTGGGGAACACGATGCCTAGTCCCCTGGATGAATCACGCAGTTTTTCAGACTGTTTTCCTGCCATCGCTCAAGAGCACCCGGCCCTAGGAGAGCCTGTTCTTGGGAAGCCATCGGCTGGCTATTTGCATGAAAGAGGAACGGCACAGTGCGGTCTCTGGGCAGCGATCAGCATCCCAAGAACTCTCCAAAGGATTTAGAGACCAAGAGCCACCAAGTGAGAAGTTCAAACACCTGGCTTAGGGGAGGCTGTGGCAGATTGACTTCGGTGGGCTCTAGTTTGTAAAATGCACTTGTCTCAGTTCACCAGTGCTTGGGCCGCTCTCCTCCTCAGCCCTCCTTCATGTGCCTAGAGCTGCCAATGCTGATGACAACTAAGGTACCTCCTCTTCCTCACATGGCTACTTACAGGCACCAAGCAAGCCCCCAGCTTCTGCCCCTTGCTGGCGATGCAGCGCCTCAAGACCAGACGGCAGTGCAGAAACAGAAACTGCTGAAACCTCAGGGCTGAACCTATTTGCTGTGCTCCTCATCACCGCAACACATCTGAGCATCTATTTCCTCTCTGGTAGGAGAGCTCACTAAAAATGCTTGCATGCAGACTCTGGGCTGGGAGCAGACATCTGGATTTAATGGATACCTCACAACTGGAACGCGAGACATCCTCCGGCGTGCAGCGGGAGGCTCGAGTGCTGTACTGCTGCTCTTGGTCTCTGGCAGAAAGGTGGTCCCGCTCTCTGTGCGGCTTCTCGGGAGTTTAATCCTGGGCCAGGGAGGCGCAGCTTTGAATGCCATGTCCTGAGCAGGGCCTGGCCCCAGTCTGGAGGTGTGAACTGTCACTGTGATATGGTGCTACCCTTTTTCTCCTCCTCGCGACTCATGCTGCTGTGGCCACCATGCCCTCGTTACAAACCAGAGCCCTCGCCGACGCTTCAGCTCTGTCTTTTCTTCCTTCCAGTTATTCTACAACCGGGGAGCAGAATTCATCCGTCATGAACGCGGCTTCATGGGAAGCTTCTCAAGGCTACAAACGAACATCGGCGATCTTTGCACCTCTTGCAAAGAGAATGGCCAGTAATCCCGTTCTGCCGGTGACCTCGGCCGGTTTCCTTTCATTCAAAGAAAAAGGAAGGGAAGGAAGGGGCTGTATTTTTGCTCTGTACATCTGGAGTCTACATATTTACACCTGAGCGCTGGGCTCGTGGTGGCCCCAACAATAGGGTTTGGGGTTTTTTTTCTTATGATAGACTCCAGGGAGTCTGCATCTTCATCACAATTGTGTAAAGGCTACAGGGCCACGGTTTGGTTAAAGGAAAACCTGAGACAAGCAGCTTCCACAAGAACACAAATTCTCCCTTTGCCTTGACAACCATTGTATTTAAACCCCTTCCTAGCCACATCACAAGGATCACAAACTGCTTCAGTGTAGCTGCACCGTCACTCTTTTCCCCCCAGCACCCGCCCCACCCTTGTGAAGGGAGATCTGGACACAGAACGAAACAGGGGTTGGAAGTAGGTGAAACGCTCCAGGTGGAAGCGAGAGCGAGAGGAGAGGGACAGCTGGGGCCCGTGGGTTGCCTGCGTGAAGGAAGCATCTGTCTGTGAGCACAGGCACCGCTCTGCGTCCCTGGGACAAGGGAATGGGAGCATGGGCAAGGGGGAGGAGGAGGAGGAAAATGGGAATTACTTCTGCAAAGCGTGGTTTCAGCACTGGGAGGCACCTTCCACAGGCTCAGGCCCACACGCTTTGAGCTATCCTGCGTTTTTCATCTTACCACTAAACCATCACTACAAGCAACTCGTTCTTCCAGTCCTATTAATCTTTTACCCTCACGGTAACATCACCGGGTTCTAGCCGCTCCATTTCAGGGCTCTCTTACTTTAAAATGCACTTCAGAGCAATGTGTTTTGCTCTAGGAGCAAATACAAAAGGCACCTGAGTTTACTTCCTCCGGGCCGCTCTGTATACCTCCGAAGAGGCCCACTCCTTTTTACACCTCCCAGCAAAATCTTTCACTGGCCACCCACACAACCTGTCAGCACACTCCTTTATTTCAATTAAACTATCAGGAATGAAGACTATATTCAAACTGGATGATGGACCTATTCGAGATCAATATTTTCTATAGCAGGAGTGTGAAAAGATACAGCTTGCAGGCTGGATCCAGCCCACAGAGCCTCATCATCTGGCCCCGTCTCAAGCTGACCCACATACTGGTCACAGCACCAATACCCACAGGGCTACCCCCATGCCAGTCATCCAGCTCCTGGACTAGTCCCTACGCCACTGACCCAGCCTGTAGAGGGGCCAGACGAGTCTGACACCCGGCTCTGTAGCATTCTGCCTGCATTACTACACACTGCACGCTTGACAGATGTCCAAGTTATGCCCTGACTCCCTTGACTAGCTGTAGTTACCTTGGTGCACTACACCTAGCACTGTGCCTGAACAGTGCAAACTGGATCTTCCACCTAGTATCACGAAATATTCACCTACCTCCAGACATCAGCTCTCTCTGAAGTTTGCAGCCTTGCCTAAAACCTGCAGCTTGTCACTCTACCATTCAGGCTCTTCCCTAAGTCATTAACACTAGAGCTCCCAACCCCACATCACCATTCACCCCCAAGAGTGGGGCAAACTGGCTGTTCAGCCTCATTTGACCTGGATGGACACACTCCCTTGCCCTGTTGCCAGTCTGGTGGCAGCTCTCTCCTTGGCAGCAGAGTATGTGCAGATCAGGACACAGATGTTACAGAAAGAGCATTTTGCTTCCTCGTAGCACCTTCTCCTCTCCTACGGCAGGGGCTTGAGGCTGTCCATCTCAAGGGAGCCTGGCTTGAGTTTTCCAGGACAGCAGTAAATGAGGGAACAGAAGTGGCTGGGACCTTAGTGAGATGGACTTAATGCTTCATGATAGACATGACTGGTCACGTCCCTGCAAAGGAACCAAATCAAACTGGAAGATTTTCTCCTATGGGGCAAGACGGTGCCACTGGGGACTCCCCGAGGAACAGTGCCCAGCCCTGTCCCTAGGTATCGGCTGGATACAGAGCCGGTGATTTGAAGTCAGGACTTAAAACCCCCCAGTGCTCTCCCCACACAACTGCATAGCGAGGGATCCTCAGCTCTGTTACCAGAACGGGAGAGTAACTGCTCCCTTGCTCCCATGCACTAAGCACTTGAGCACCTGGTTCGGACATCCATGGAGCCTGAAGTACCTCTGCTGACCTTTTTGTACAAGTCTGATACAGCGCAGGAATGAACACTACCCGTGTTTACACAAGTCCCCTTGAATTTATGTAAGCCTCTTTTTTTCTCCTTACACACAGTCCCTTTGCCGGGCATTTCCCCCACATTGTAATTTCTACCAGGGAATTTCTTTGGACAGAGAACCATCATGCTCTCTCCACGCACCCCTTGAACAAACTGCGGCACACAAGACCGGACAATACAAGAGAAGTGGAGATTAGCTTGCACAGAAATCCCACGTGCCCCGCCTGACTCGCTGGTCGTTTGGTTTTGTATGCTTCACAGTAAAACCTGAAGTCATAATGCAAGCTACATCACACTTTAGCCATGTGTTACCGCTGTTACCAGCAATGCAAGCTTCAAGAAGTCTGCTCAATGCCTCTGAACCTGTAATCAGATATTCTAGAGCAGGAGCTTGGTAACGTGGAGATGGACCAAAGTCAAGAGGTCTTCTCCCTAACCTTCTCGTAGGGCTCTTCAAGCCACAAGCCTGGTTTTCCACAGGATTAAGGGGGGCACAAAAATGAGAAGATATGTGGTCTCCACAATCACTGCAGCAGGAGACTCTCTGGATCAGCCTCCCAAAGAAGCAGGACTGGCACAGCTCCTGCAGAAACAAGTGCCCATGCAGTCCTTCACTTACAATCCTTCCTCAAATGGCCTGGCCACCCAATCTTACCCAACATCACCCACCTGGACGGCTTCTCCAAGTACAGAGCCAGGTGTTTTCACTAATGGACTCTGGGGAAGTAGCGAAGGGGACCTGCAACAGCTGTACTTTGTTTTGTGGCTCTACAGCTTCAGACTGAGAGGTGACATTGGTCAGTCCTGATCATCACAACCAGATTCACTTGGAAGTATCTGGATTACTTAAAATGCCTTTAGCTGCTTTCCAGTAAGCAAGTGCCCATGTATTTACACCAGACATTCCACACCAGGACGAGATGCTAACGCACATTTCAGAGCAGCCTGTTCGGAATTTCAGGCTTAAATGCTGACTTGATTAGAGCTGTACAACCAGCGACTGGGCTGTCAGTCATCCGCTTTCGCAGCAGACAATAGACAATGCCTTCCCAAGAACAACTACCTCTCAGAACGCACTTTAAAATAGTTTTGCAAGTCATTGTTACAGCTTGATAATGCAAATTAGTTTGGAACCCGGAAAAATAATTGGTCAGCTGTTCTCTCTTAAGGAAAAATTGTTCATTATGCAGTGCAAAGGTTAAGAACGAACTCCAAAAATTGCATAGCTTTACGAGAACTAGCTCAAATCGTGCAAACACCTGAATGGCAGCATTTCCAAAAAAAATATTTTGCAATTGCAAGTACTTTGGGTTCCTACAAATGAGGATCTGCCCCAATGCAAACCCATGTGCTGAGAAGTTTAAAAGCAAGTCTTACACAAACATGGTAGACGAAGTCTAAGGATTTTAAAGGATGCTGGATGACACTGCAGTTCATCCAAAAAAGGCAAAGATTTTCAAAACTGCATGTCCAAAGGGAGGCTCTCCATGAAGTTGGCTTGGGCTCCTCTGTATTCTCTTTTGTAAAAGAACAAGTGAGGCTCATTTTGGAGCCCTGCATTAAGCACCCTTGTTTTTAAACCTTGGCAGAACTTGTACAGCTGGATAAACTGCTTATGCATATTCAGAAGGTCTACAAATGTCAACACAGCCCAGGACAATTAAACAACCCATGTGCAAATAAACTGGCAACATTTTAAAGCAAATAAAAGTGTTTACGTATACTAACATCCTAGTCTTGGGATATCCAGTCAAGCTACGCAAAGAGATGTGTTTGTCCCTTGCATACTCCCAAATGTGGAAGTAGGATCAGAAACTGGATCTGGAAGAAAGGGTAAACAGCATGTTAGTTCAAAACACAGATGATACCACACAGGGAAAGGTTGCAAACATTAGTGAGGACAAAGATACAAGTGATCTAAAAGGGAAATAAAGTGAAACACATAAACTACATGCAGTAAAAATCATCTGAAACAAAACATTCAGTGAGAGGGAAATTGGGGGGGGACAGCAAGTTGCAAGAAGCTCAGAAGAGAGAGCAGACGGCAAACTGAATTCAGGCAGCAGCGTGGACTGTGCCTCTGCAGGACAAGAGAGCGGGGAAATGCCCATTCTTTGTGCCACCGCCACCTCCCTCGCACATCCCCAGCGGCGGAAATAACTTCCCTCCCTCAATGCAAACTGCCCCTCCGCCAGCAGGTTTCTGCAGGGCTTTTCCTATTTAAAGCAAAAGCTTAAATTGCTGGCTATTAAGGCTTTGAAGGTACAGTACTTTGCATTTGTAAAAGCTAAATGTAAGTCAGGCTACAACCAAAAACCCAGCAACATGGAAGATACCAAATTTTGCTGTTTGAAATGGAAACTGCCCCAGTGCCTGAAGAAGGGTGATTGTGCCCAAAAGCCTGCAAAGAACTTATTTCCAACTACTCAGTTGGTCTAATAAAAGATATCAAATGTAAATCAATGCAGGGGAGTCTTCCATGGCTGCCGCCGCTTGCAGCTTTGCCCAGTTGTGCCCAGTGAGATCAACAAGACCAGTCACTTCCATCGGATTTATTTAGAGCTCCTTGTAAGCTAAAACTATCAAGCACCGCATCAGATTTATTCCGTTGCTTCTTGGGAAACCTTGAAGAACGGCAGCAAAGGAGAAGCTCCAGTAATCAGCAAGGGAGATTAGGAAAATGTATCTATGCCTTGCTGGAGAACTTCCTTCCTTAAGGGTAATTAGGTGCACAAATCCACAAGGCTGGGTCTGCAATGAGCACCGCCCTTAAGGCAGACCAGGCCCAAAGGTGAGCCCTGAAGAAGCCCACCAGAGACGCTTCCACAGCAGACACTCCTCACCCCGACGCAGGGAGGTTAAACTTCCCAGTTAAGCGGGGGTAAACAGTCCTGCAATGCAAAGAATTCAAAGGAACAAACATTACGTGCCAATTAACAAATGCTATTTATTTCCCAAACTAAGAGCCCCTGGCAGGGGGGAGGAATGTGCGGAGCACTGCTCTCAGCCAAGAAATTTCAAGGCAACAACAGATCTTCCTATTCTTATTCACAAGTCCACAGATCCATGACCGTGGGAGTCGAATAGCAGCAAGCTTTTTGCTTGTGAAGTTGCCACGGCTTAAAATGTTGAGAGGTGGAGTTCAGCTGTTGAGGCTGTCTCTCAAAGGCATACAGGACCACCGCTAACCAGAAGTGGAGACTGATGTTCTTCTCCCCCGAAACTAAACATTAATCTTTCTGAACTGAGCTACGCTACAAATATGCACACACAGATAAAAGTAACCGTGTACTGAAAGCTCTGCAATAGCCAAAGCATGCCACTATTTCTCTGGGCTTCAATGGAGCAGTGAGGAAGGAGCAACAATTTCCTGTGTCCCACGCGCCCTGGAGATAATCTTTCAAAGATAAAAGATCACTCACATCTGTGCCCCTATCTGTGGAAGCTGCAATGCCGAGGTCCCAAGTGGAGAAGCTCCCAGACAATGTAAGCGGGGACTTGTCAAAAAACCAAAACCATGCACTTTAAAATGTTTTGGAAGCACAGACGCACCTTCCCGAGCGTTTCCAACACGGGTCCCAGCGAGATGGAGAGACAGACAAGAGACCCCAATGTCGAAGAGAGAGTGTGCTGGAGAGACCGCTCAAGAAACACCGGACATCGGGAGACTGAGGTCACCTCTTCCCAGCTTCACCGAGATGCTACAAAAGCAGCTATGTGACCTCTGAATGGCGACATGACCAACCCCAGGGGGCTGGACCTGATGACCTGTGAGGTCCCTTCCAGCCCCTAACTATGAAAGGCTCCCAAATCCCTCAAACAATTCGGGCAGTATGCAGTATGGCTCCAGACTGCAGAGGGAAAGGGAAGAGCCACCTGTCCTGGCACCAACGGCAGGACTCAACCTGGCCCATGAATTCATGGACTTAGCACAGCTCTCCCTGGAGGCAGGGAACGGCGACCGCTCTTCCACTTGGAACTGTTCCAGAGCCAGAAGCCCGTGCCCAGACTGCCCGAGTCTGGCACCTAACGAGGCACCAAATCCATCCTGCCAGATCTCTCACCTGCTGGGAAACGTGGCTATTCTTTGTTTGCCCACCAGGGTTATCCTATGTAAAGCCATCAGGAAGGGACATTCCCTATGACCCCTGTGAGCCCACTCCCCGCCCTCTAAACCAGCATCCGAGACACAAGATGGCCCGACTGATCGACCTGGTGAGCGGGTTCAAACTGTATTTTCCAACTCACCTGCTACCCGAGGAGCCGTGTGTGCTCTTGGGGAAAGGTCACTCGGTGAGGAGTGGAGAGGAGACAAGTGAGGGATGAATAGCAAGATGTTCTCCAGTGGCCTGGTGAAGGTTTTCTCTGCAGGTATTCTTTGATCCCAGATGAGATGGGAGCCCGTGAGTAGGCACTTCCCTTCCGGGAGCCGGCAAGCTGATAAGATTCATCTGTTTGTCATATCACAGGGAGGCCTTGTAGAGAACCACTTCCAGCACCACGTCAAGGCAGGAGGCAAACCCGCTTGTCCAAGGGCACAAACTGACCACCAGCCTGCAGCTCTGCTCCGTGCTGGCCGCAAGTCACATTTGCTTGGAGGAGCCAGGCGTTCAGCTGGAGACACCGCATCTGCTCTTCTCCACGTTCCACCTTCCTGGGGTGCAGCCCGGGGCCCTCAGGGAGGATCTGCCGTCTTGGCCAGCATTAGAGGACGGTCCAGGTCTGGAATAGTCTCAGCCTCTCCTGTACCGTTCGCTGGGTGATAAGAGCTCTGGGCCAGTCTGTTACCATCGTATCCATTGCCTTGATGAACAGCACCACCACTCCAAAGTGGATAAGAACAAATGCACCTTCCAGGCCTGACAGCACAGGTCCCCGCACTGGAGTCGCAACATCTTGGGGCAGCCAGCGGAATTAGCCACAAACGCAGGAACCACGGATCTCAAAGTCGTCACAAACTGAAATTCTCTGTGCTTTGGCAGTTCTGTGTCTGACCAGTTTTAAAGCCATGCCGGGACTTCCCTAGCAAAAAGGGGTGATGCCGCTGGAGCACCAGAGGATGCCAGTGGAGCTTCTGGTTTGCCAGTCCAAACCCATCTGCCTGTCGGGTCCTTTGGCACGAGGTGTCACTCTGCAAGAAGGTCACAGAGGGGCCTTGACTAGAGATCAGGGCTGTCACTTCCTTGGCTGGCAGGCAGAGATGCAGCCACATAGGACAGGATGACCAGATTTTGATTTTCATTACTAAATACTGCAAGCTTTTTTCATTCTACTCGGTCATCTTCTGGCTTTGCCTGGAAACTCCCCTTCCTTCAGAGGTTCCTCAAAAAGAGAGGGTATTTACAGGACTAAGGACCAGGCTTGCACCCGGAGGGATTACCACTGCTTTATGGTCTCACTTGCTCTACTGGACAGGCCTTCCTTCACCTGCCCAGGGATTTCCCTGGAGGCAAATCCAGCGCAGAGCTAACACACCCAGAAGGACACCACTTGTCCTGAATCTCCTCTTTGTACAAGAACCTGGGAGGGGAACCTCCTCTCGGGGAGATAACTAGATCACAGCATTTTCCCTTCACTCCTTTGAATTCTGAATCCTCAAAATCATATTTTTTGGAAGACAAAGGGGACTGAAGGACCACCCCCCCGCGCCCCAGGCACTGCTCTGCCACCCAGAGCTTTTCTGGTCTTACCTCCTTTTCCGCCCATCTCCAAGTAAGGACAGAGGGGAAGGGGTAAGTCCAGGGGGGCTGTGCTTTTCTTGAAGCAACTAGTAGAGTCCAAACATCAGATTTTTAAAAATCACCTCATTGCTACCCTAGAGCAGCTTCAGTCCAAGTCCCCCAACAGAAAGCCGCCTTGTGACAACACTTTCAAGCAGCCTTTTTGACATGTGAAAGGGAAACTTCTGCCTCACCTGTGACTTTTCCATTCAGGCACCCACCACAACAGACGGTCTTCAGGCTGGGGGCATCCCCCCAATCTCTGCAGTTACCAAAAGCAGACAGGATCTTTGCTCTGTGCCTGGGCTTAGGACAGCTTTCTGGACATACATTTAGGGACTTCCTAGAGGAAGGCCCTTAAGAACATAGTAGCCAGAAAGAGAAAGATCCTGGATATAACGCAGTCCTCTCAGAAGTCTAGGAGGATGCTTGTCATCTCAGAACTGGCCACTGCAGCGCCTCTCCTTCCCACCCGAATGGTTGGGGTGCGCTGGATGTTGGCTCATTGCAAGAGGGACCTACCCAATGTTGTGCCGTTTGGAGTTTGAGAAAGTTCCATTTAAATGAGAACGGGCCCAAAAACCAAGACCCGAGAAGATCACAACAACAGCAGTGCCCTGCCCCTCCACTCTCTTCACCCTATTTGCTTCCAGAAGCAGAGGGAGAAAGCACAATCGAGACGCCAGGGTAAGAGCCTGCAGCTTGGACTTCCAAGCTTCTAGTGCTTACATACTGCCTCTTGACTTTCAAACTAGCCTTGGATGCACGTGGGCTTAGCAATAGGCTCCTATCCCACCCTGAGGTTCTCTGAAAGGCTAAGGCTAGCGATTAAGGTTTGGTAGTGGTCCATCTCCTATTTGGCTCCACTACATCAGCTTCTCTGCCAGAGACCCAAGAAAAGGTACTGTGATACTCCACAGCTAGTCTAAGTCCATCCCAACCATACAGGATGGATAAAAGATAAATCACCCACAAAAATCCTCGCCTCTAGCTGATCACAGAGTTCTCCCACCGCGTCTTGTGGAACCAGTGGGCCTCGGCGTGCCCCTTGATATGCAACCCAGGGGAGCCACGTGAGAGCTTCTGCCCAGGACACGAACAACTGCACCTGCGTGCACATCATGCTTCTGGAGAACAGCCTGCTGGGCTTGGAGCACAACCTCTCAGACCGCACACCTTCAACAGCTGTTCCTTGGGCCATATTCGCCACCGCCCACACGTAAATAGAAATCCAGGTGCATTGTGCTGCTAAGCAGACTGATGACCAGCTTCTTTGCATTTATTCATTTCTTAATTAAGAACAAATTCATGAACATTGGTAGCAAAGCACTTTCTCTTGTCTACCTACAGTTTCTAACTGGAAGCAAAGCAAAAGTTACACCAGCTACTCATAACTGCCTAAAACCGAGTGAGAATTTGGTTT